GTGGTGTGTGTGTGTGGTGTGTGTGTGGTGTATGGTGTGTGTGGTGTGTGTATGTGTGGTGTGTGTGGTGTGTGTGTGTGTGTGTGAGCTGGTGAGAAAACAAACCAATAAATTGTCCGCTGCCAGTTCCACAGCCTCACCACTCAGCCATCCATGCCATGAGTCATTTATGACCCCATCCCCCCTACCCCCCACCCTTAAAACAGATAAACCCCACTGATTGATTGATTGATTGATTGATTGATTCAGAGGGTGTTTCACGACACTATCCACTCAGTTTTGGTCTCAAATCCCACTACACCGCCAACCTTAGGAGAAGCGTGCCCACTACACCGCCAACCTTAGGAGAAGCGTGCCCACTACACCGCCAACCTTAGGAGAAGCGTGAAGTTGGGCAGTTTAGCGGAGCTGGTTTTTAGTTTTAGTAAGAGTTTTACAGCACTTGCAACACAATAAAGCAAGGTCATGCGAGTGCCCAAGATTAGAGTTAGAGGTGTTACAAAAGAATAACATACACACAAAAAAAAGGAGAAATCAGGACAAAACGGTGTTTGATAGGAAAGAAGAGGCAAACCACCCACTGCGGAGCTGGAGCGGAGATTAATTATAAATGAACAACTCGGACATTACACTATAGACTAACCGAAGTCAAGGGAAATGATTCTGCCGCAACTAGATGAAGCACAATATTACAGTGAATTATTTCCCTTCGTCCAAAATGTAGTAATTATGGCATTCATGCTTCTGGTATGTGACGACAGCTATCTCGCAATCTTTTTTCGTTTTTGAAATTTTAAAATGTCGCTTTTACGCCCCCATCGACACAATTTTAGATCATTTACAAGGCTGGCCACCCGTCGGGGCCTACCTGGGCTGTGAGGGACACAACATCCCAGCAGAAAGATCGAGATACTAGACAAAGAAGTTTTTCCCCGACTCGAGAATCGAACTTGGGTCTCCTGTGTGCAACAGTAGAAGAACATATAACCACTACACTATAGACGTCAGTCTCCGAGGGTCATGTGATGGTGGGGATTGTTTATTCGAGTAGGTGTTTTACAGCACTATCCACTCAGCTTTGGTCAGGTGCGATGGGGGAAAAAGACTCGTCACTACCCTGCTGGAGAGTGGGTGCTCAGCGAAATTGTACACCACTGGCAGTGTTGCAGGAGCATACAACTCAGTTTAGTCTTGTAACAGTTTTACGGTACTCGCAACACAATTACGTTGAATAAGTGCCGAAGAATAGAGATGTTACAAGAGAGAAACACAAAAAAGAAGGAGAGATAAGGAAGACAGCTAGATGTTTGATAAGAAAGAAGGAGCAAAACACACTAGAGCACCCACCAACCAACCACTCAACTCAGGAAGCTGGTGGGGCATAGCATGTTATGTAATCCAAAAACATTTTTGTATGAATCTTACTGAAAAACATTGAGCAAAGCCACAAAAAGTATAAATTTACTCCAAGGACTCAATCTTCGGAAATCACCAAAATTGCAAATTTAATGAGACGACTGAACTTCTTTTGGGCGTTTGCTGCAGTTAGACTAGATCTACCTGTCCCCGTCGTTTTATGCAAGAAAAATTCTGAAATTATGCCAAGAATGTGAAATTATGCGATTCTGTTAATTTTAACAAAGAATAACAAAATAATCAGAAATTATGAAAAAAATGATCAAATTTTGCTAAATTATGCGGGGTGCACAACACCACGGGGACAGATCTACCCTCAGCGCTTGTGCGGTAAGATTCCGCTTGCAGCAAGCCATCAGATGTCAAAGCTTACACCCAAATGTCACCCACAGCACATTGCACATTTGACTGAGTCGGAGAGAGCCAGGACTTTTTGCACGGAGGAGCAGGAATCTACCATTACGGCGGCAGTTTGATCAAATCTTCCAAATACATTATGTATTATCAGCTGATCATGTTCAATTTTAGCGGATTTGATCTAATTCAAAGAGGGCCAAAACGGTAGCATTTACTTTTCGATGGAGGAAAATCTGGCTGGCTCCGACTCAATCTGACAATTCGAGAGGCAGTGTGCACTGGATATTACTGTCCCCGTCATTTTAGCCGAAAAATGTGAAATTATATGATTCTGTTAATTTTAACAAGGAATGATAAAGGAAAACCCCCCCCCAGAAATTATGCAAAAAAAAGATCGAATTTTGCTGAATTATGCGAGGTGCATAAAACCACGGGGACATATTATATGATTGGATCTACACCTTGTTGCTCTGTTAGACGGCACATGGCTGTTCCATGACAATATATAATGCATAAAACTCTTCCTCTTTGTCAGCGTCGAGTACACTGCTGACTTTTTTTACTTTTAAACGGTACAGGAACACACTTTTGGAGACGAGAATGCAATATTTTATTGAACTGCAAAGGCACATGATAATAATAATAACCATAGAATTTTATTGCAGATATTATAAACTAATTTGTCATCATCATATTTCGCAATGTTTTCCCTTTCTGTCACTCTCTCCCATTCTAACGCACTCTCTCCTTCTAATGCAAACCTATCAGGACCTTCAGTTTTATTTTTACTAAGAGTTTTCCGGCACTTGCAACACAATAACGTCATGTAAGTGCCAAAGATTAGGTGGTTTTTTTGTGTGTTTTTTTAGTAGAGGTTTTACGGCACTCGCAACTGCATAAGGTCACATGAGCGCCAGAAGATTAGGTGTGCTACAAGTGAGTAACAAACACACAAAAGAAGGAGGAGAGTTAAGGACGATAGATGTTTGACAGGAAAGACGGACGAGCAAACAGCATCAGAGCACCCACAAATCACCCGCGTCAGGAGCTTTCTCGTCATATCGGCACAGCTGTGATCACAGTAAATCGACGGGCCCCGTTTTCCTTTCTCCCTCTTTCTCTTTATCACCTCTTCTTTCCAGTCGTACATTTTGTTTGCCTTTTTTTTTTCCCCTCTGACAACGCAGTAGCTGATCATTCCCACCTATGCGTTTGAAACGTGCTCTCTCGCCACTGAGCCACCACTGTCTTCTTTCACCGATGCATCACTGTCTCCTACTGCACTGCCACTAAATCACCACTGTCGCCAACTGCCACAGATTCACCAATTTCTTCAGTCACTGACGCTCCACTGTTTCCCACTGGCACTAAATCACCACTGTCTTCTTCCACCCATGAATCACAGTCTCAAACGATCACCGACTTATCAATTTCTTCTGTCACTGACAAACCACTGTCGCCGACTCACCAATTTCTTCTGTCACTGACACACCACTGTCACCAACTCATCAATTTCTTCTGTCACTGACACACCACTGTCACCCACTCACCAATTTCTTCTGTCACTGACACACCACTGTCACCGACTCATCAATTTCTTCTGTCACTGACACATTGCTGTTTCCTACCGTCACCAACTCGCCAATTTCTTCTGTCACTCACACCACCATTTCCTACCGTCACCAACTCGCCAATTTCTTCTGTCACTGACACATTGCTGTTTCTCACTGCCACAGAAGCACCATCATCTCCTACAGTCACTGAAGCTCCACCGTCCCCTACTTTCACCGACGTCTTACTGTCTCCTATTGTCACAGTCACTGACGCACCACTGTCGCCTACCGCCACCGACCCATGCCTGTCTCCTGTCACAGATGCCCGGCTGTCTCCTGTTACTAGCGCACGTCTGTCTCTCGTCACTGACATGTGTCTCCTGTCATCGACGCTTGTCTGTCTCCCGTCACTGACACGCCACCATTTCCAACTGTCACCATCTCACCAATTGTTTCTGCCATTGATGCACATCATTTCCTACAGTCACTGAAGCACCATCGCCTCATTCAGTCACTGAGGCACCATTGTCCCCTACTTTCACCGACACCTTACTGTCTCCTATTGTCACTGTCACTGACGCACCACTGTTTCCTACCGTCACTGACACACACTAGTCTTCTACTGTCACCAATGCCCGGCTGTCTCCTGTCAACGATGTGTGTCTGTTTCTCGTCACTGATGGGCGTCTGTCTCCTGTCACACATCTGTCTTCTGTGACTGTCGCATGACCTGTGTTTGTCTCTTGTCAATGACCCGTGTCTGTCTCTTGTCAATGACCCGTGTCTGTCTCTTGTCAATGACCCGTGTCTGTCTCCCGTCACTGACTCATGTCTGTCTCCCGTCACTGACGCGCATCCGTCTACCGTCAACGACGCGCATCCGTCTACCGTCAACGACGCATGTCTGTCTGCAGTCAATGATGCGCATCTGTCTACCGTCAACGACGCATGTCTGTCTCCTTTCACCATCTCACCTCTGTCTACCATCACCAACGCATGTCTGTCTCCTGTCAATGACGCGCGTCTGTCTACAGTTAACGATACATGCCTATCTCCTGTCCCCATCGCACCTCTGTCTCCCATCACTGACGTGCTTCTGTTTCCTGTCACTGACGCACGTTTGTCCCCAGTCACAGACGCATACGTCTTCCCTACTGTCATCGATGCACGCCTGTGGAGAATATTGCGGGTGTTATTGGTACCCGATTCCACAACACCAGTCACCAAAGACTCATCCATCTCCTCGCCAACCAAGCCACCGACTGACACGTCACGCAGGGATTCACTGGGCCCTTCCTGGTTCGTCTGCTGGTGTGACTGTCGCATCCGCTCTGGGAGTAGTTTTAAGAACTTCCTGCTTCTACTTACTTCTATTCAGGTCCATGGTGTTGTCTATGGATACAGAGTAGAAACAGAATGTTATCAATATCAAGATGTGTTGGTTCCCCTTATTTTCTAAGCTTTAAGGCAACCCCCCCCCCCCCCCCTCCCCAAAACAACAAAAAACAACCCCTCCCCCAAAAAACAAACATTAACTACAGACAAATAATATTTTACATTTCAGATTTCACCAAAGAGACTGATAGCCATTCATTGTGGGGTATTTCTGCCTTACCCAGTACAGTAAAGATAGCCACAGATCAAGGTTATTTCAGCGTAAATACTAATGACAGTATTATTATAATTAGAATCTACATTTTTTCTGCCTTAACCTTCATCTTTGCTAGTAGAAAGTCTGAGTCATTCTGGAAAATAGATAGGCCTAGGGCTATACATATACATGTATTTGTATAATGTCGAAATTCGTGTAAAAGACAAACCATACTACCAAAAAAAAAGAAAACCCCAAAAACAAAAAACAAAAAACAACTCTCCAATCTCAACCTGTTTTTTTTTAATTTCTCTACTTATGACATGAGGAATAAACATCTATGTGTGCTCGATTTTAATACTAGTGAGAGGTCGTGCATTTTTTTTCAAAAGGTGGCAGGTCGATTATAACAGTATTCCTAAGCTCAAAGCAATCACCGGTAACACAACAGACAACGTTTTCACTCACCTGAAGAATTTCTGAAGGCAGCTGTCCAGTCAAACAATGGTAAAGCGAGTGACTTTAGCTTACAAAAACTAAAAACAGTGCAATGGTTTCTGGAAATCAGCTGTCCCGCTGTCACGGTGCTTGCGCAATTAAACCACTGAAAGGAGGCATCACACAGTTAAGCTTGATAAGATTATATAGGCCCTAATGGACCAGTGAAACACACTTCTAGTGCTTTTCTGACCCAATCATTTATATGTCTCCCAATGCAAGGGAATATTTTCTTGCAATTAATATTTTCAAAAAAATTTTATTTGGTGCTGAGGCCTACACTACATGATGACATGGTTAAACTACGACAGGGATGATATAATCTAATGTGCATGATGCATGTTAGGAGGCGGTTGACACAGCGGAAGAAGTTCCGCAGAGGGAGGGGCAGCCGACCAACAAAAAAAAAAGACAAAAAAAAGGGGTTTTCAAAAAAAGTTGGGTTCAGTATTTTGGAAGGGTCAAAAGAAAGAACGAAACGATTTTGGAAGATGAAATAACCCCCCCCCCCCCAAAAAAACCCCCAACCTAACCCTAACCCTTGTGTATCATTTGCTCAGTGAACCTTGTCACGATAAATGCCGGCCTTCTGCAGTACTCCCCCAAACACAGCTTACTAGTCAAAACCTGTTCTACCAGATATTGAGACATACCACGTCATATTATGAAAGACAATCATCTGAACAAACAGCCACTTCCTATCCCCTCCCCCTCCCATCCTTTTTATTATATTTTACATTTACTAAGGCACTGTGATCACTGCGACACAATGTAATTCAGGCACTTCGAGACCTCAGTGCTTTCTTGTTGCATCTCCATTTTTTATAACAGTGAAAATGTGGCTTCTTAAAGCTCACTCTTTGTTATGAACTGCTTTCACTTATTAAAAATGGATACAACAAGAAAGCACTGTGGTTGCGACCTGTCCAAGTCGACCACTTTTCCCCCCAACAATGGGGGTTCGTCTTTTTTCGACTCAAGATGTCTACTTTAAATCTTTTGTCTTGGGACTCTTCGGGTGAAGTGGTCCCGGCCTAACTCCATAGACACATATATGATGTACACAATCGGAAACAAAACCGGAAGTTGCCTTTTTTTTTAAAGGGGGCGCGGGACTCCTTAAACAAAATAATAGTTTTTTGGCAGTTTTTAGCGCCAAAATTGTTCTCAGCACACTAAAAAAATGGTTAGAATTCAGAATAGAGCCGAAAATAGATCTCTAGAATCTAGATATCTAGTCTCAAATAGGTTTGGCAGGCAATTCAGTTCAGTTTTTTTACCCGACTTCCGATTTTGTTTCCAATTTTGCGTACAAATGTCTGTGGAGTTAGGCCGGGACCACTTCTCCTGAAGAGTGCCTTTGTATTTGTCTTAGAAACTGAATTTAAAGTAAGAGATAGATAGTGATAGTTATCATGTGCGGTTGGTCCTCACCTGTTATTGGTGCTTCTTGCACCAGTTCTTCTTGCTTGACACTGACATGAACACATATTTCTTTGTTTACACTTCTCACTTGTCCTTCTATTGCTTCTCCTCGATCCACCATGCCTTGACTACCTTGACCATTGCCATTGTCAGAGAAGTCTGATCTATTTGGTCTATCTGTTTTCACAAAATCAACTTCATTATAATCATATTCATACTCATACTCCATCGGTTCTGACTTCACCTTCTGGCCATTCAGTACAACATATTTCTCTTCAGAAGAGTCTTGTACTGCTACTGGGACAGGGGGTGGAACAAATTCAGATATTTCAGACCCCATTCCTTCCCCAACATGATGATGAGGGTCACTTTCCGAAAACTCACACTGGTCTGACCATTCGCGTCTTGTCTGCTGTGCACTTCTGCCTGCCATGTTTAACTCACATTTCGGCCTTCTCAACAAATGAATCAGTTCAATCAGCTGTCACTCTCAAATCTCTCCTGCCACGGGCCCTGCTCGGACAAAACTGTAAACAAACAGATCTTGATCTATCTATCTTATCTAGGCCTATGATATGAACTCAACTCAACACAGCTCACGCACTCACACAGGGCCTGGCACGGGTTCTGCTACACTAACACAGCCAACACAGTAGATCTACACAGTACACAGCCAAAATCTTCAGTGTAACAACATGCACACACATTAGCTCGTCTACATTGTTGTTATGATTTGGGTTGCCAGGTTTGTTTTGTTGCTGATGGAAGGTGAAAACAAGTCACAATAAAGTTATACATTGTTGGTCCAGGAAGTCTGGATATTGTAATGTATAAAAGAATATACCTTTGGATTTCCATTTCATCATTAAAATCTACAACAAGCTTAAACACAGCAGGCTTATACATAACGAAATATATACAATACACTAGATCTAGCACAAAACTGCACCATAAAGCTCCTCGACCATGGCCGAACAATTTTGCAGCGCAACTTGGCAGTCCATAAGGGCAGAATTGTTTCCAGTTTCCAGATTTATTCCGCTTTTGACTTTGATTTTTGTTGAAAATGTAATTGAATATTTTATAGCCTAGGCCTACATATATATTTTTTATAAGACCAAAAGTCGTGAATCTCAGTTATCTGAGAGATGCTGTAAAATATTAGGTAGCCTATAACTCTATACAATCAATGATAGAGATCTAGATAGACCTTTTCAGCCATAATCTCAAAACTTCCAGAAGTGCAAGACAATCTGAGCATCAAATTTCCAGACGGTCAGTTGAGTTGGCTAGTTTTGCTTGGTTTTGGTTATTTGGTTTTTTGTTCAGCTTATTTTGTTTTGTTTTGTATTGTCCTTTTTCGTTTTGAAAGTTTGTGTTCTTTACAGTTTTAGCCTACAAGCAGCTGTTTTTTTGGGGTGTGTTTTTTTAAAGAGGAGAAATTGTTTATTTTGCTTTCTTTCTTTGCGTGCACGAGGGCTGTCAAATGCACATGTCACCTCCTACGTACAAAATGCAATGATATTACAATTATTTTATATTATCTATTTAATAAATAAAAGCAATAGGTCTAACGACTCTTTTACATTCAATAATATTATAATGTAGGCCTCCGTCATGATAATAATAATAGTAATAATAAAAAATAAATAATAGCGAGGCCAGGTGGAATAAGCTCACCTCAACAAATACGTGTAGACCTACTACAATAATGTAATTCTCGAACCTCGAAGCTAAATAAATATCAAAGGGGATCAACCATCAAGACTCAGGTGTTTCTGTTTATCGAATTATTTCCCGTTGATCATCTTGCTCGATTTGGAACTAGACACAGAATTCTTCTACACTCAGTAAGTGAAGGATTCTGTGGAACTAGATCTCTAATGAAACTTCCCAATCAGAGATCTCTCGTCGTCCCCACCTTCGGCCCCTCGACCACCCTTAGATCTATCTGTCTGTCTTCCTGTCTATCATTTTGTCAGACTGTCTGTCATTATTTTCTTTTTACTCCCTCCCTACCTCCCTCCCCCTCCCCCCT